TTTGTATATCCACATGGCTTGTGCAAAATCAGGCATAGCATCTATAGTTTGTGACCCATTTTCATTCGTGCATTATATTCTAAACATACGAGTACATGCATTAATCATGTATCATAAATGATTATTACCAGTTAAATGACGGATCGTCGATTTGTATTAAATAAATTGTAGCAATTGAAATTCCATTATAACAGTCATCAAAATTTATTTGTATAATTTGTTTGTTTCCACTTTTTAGGTAAATAAATTTTTGTACAGTATTTTAATTACAAGATTTTTTGTTTATTTTATTTCTTATTTTTTCTAAAAACTAGTAATAAATAACAAGATGGTTTTTGGTGCACCGATTGAATCCGACCTTAAAATTGCTTTAGGTTTTTAAGAAATTTTAACCCAAAAGTAGTGGTTTTCTAAACCACAGACGGATCCCTATGTCGTAGTTTTTTATTATAGTTTCTTATGTTATAACGTTTAGTAAACATAGTTTTTAATACAGTACAATACAATAGTATTTACAACAAGTATGAATTTGTTATTGCTATCCTATGCTTTGTTTTTTTGTGGCTTTCGCTATAGCTACTCTTTACTTGTTAAAGTATCTTCTTTGATCCAAATGCTCTTAATAAAATTGCACGAACGACGCGTGCCCAAAGTTAGGTAACAATGATTATTAAATTAATTTTTATTAATGTTTATTACAACGGAACAATTATTAATATTTTCTAAATTAATTGTAAAACAGGTTAATTCATTCAACGGGTGATGATGTACTATTTAATAAAGTTTGGCTTAACTCAGAAAAGCCGTTTTTTATGTCCAATATTTTATTTGATTTTTTTTGGGTTATTGATTCCTTTGTGTACCTCTCGGCGACAGCCGTTGATTTCCAGCTTCCAAGTCGCTTAACATTGGAAATTCCTTCCCCAGAATCGTCTAATATGGTACCGGAGGATCTAGGAAAACTATGACCTGCGTACTCCTCAGGATTTTCTTACACGTTGGGTAGTGCATGCTTATTTAGGGGTATTTGGTTTTCGCAAATTTGAATATTTTCGAAACAGTTGTAAGTAATGACCATTATTGATTTCATCAGATATCACATAGATTCTTGTTGTGTAATTTATACTATCCGAAATTTTCACAATTACTAAATTTTCTTTATTTTATATATCACCAATCATTATCTTTGAGAGGTCTTCTCGCCTACAAGCACCAGCCAACCCAAAAATAGTGGCAACTTTTATTAAAGTGTAAATTTCATTTGGTGCTTCTTTAATGAATCTTGAAATGTCAAGTTCTCAAAAATTTTGACTTTTTTGGTCTGTATCCCCAAAGATAATACACCCCATAGATAATACACCCCATAGATTGGAAACTGCACTAGCGCTAGCAGCAAAAGGCTAAAGTAAATTAACCCCATCTAGGTCTACAATACCCTTAGCAATGCCAAAAATTGAAGTAGATTTCTGTAACATATATTGGCGCCATATTTGAATGTTGATGCTTCGTAGGGTGCCTTTCACAGACTTTGTAGGTCTGTGGTGCCTTTACATATTGTATTTACTGCTGTTTTTTAAATAAAACAGGTATGAATATAAGATTTATTTATTGTATTAATAATATAATATAAAATAAAATACATACATCTATATGTACATATTAAATACATAATCGGTATACATAAATATGTTTTTGTTTGTGGATTGCAAACCTAAAAAATATTAGTCTTAATTCTTCAATAATTATTATTATTATAATAGGAGAATATTGCAAAATTTGGTAATTTAGTCCAGGCTACTTATACATACACATATGGGAATTTGTACAAGGCTTTTGAGTGTAGACTTTTGGCAAGTTCTAACCAACCGTGAAAAATCCATCTTGCCAACCATTGGTTTTGAAACAACCATAAGTAGCCTGGGCTTGGCCTGGACTAAATTACCATTATACAAGCAATCCTAAATAATTCATAATTAACAAATAGTATTTTTACGCTAGAGCGACACTGCCGTGCTTAGCCAAAAAGACGCAACTCCACATTTTTACTTTATAAATTATAGCGCTTTATTGTTTTTTTCTAAGATACGTTCAATTTAATTAGAAATTTTTAGGAGCTATAGTACTTAAAAATGTATGTATAGTTAAAATTCGTCTTTTTTTCTAAGAGAATAATTTAATAATAACTAGATGAGTCTTTTTGTCTTAGGACGGCAGGATAGCCAATACTTACAAATTGGTTACATTTCCGCGCCCAACAACAATACATTTTACAACCATTAACACGTTTTATCACTTTTAAGGCGCAAAAATGTATTTAATACATAGATAATAAATCATATAGATACGCCACTGTCACATATTTAACGCTCCTTGTTACGCACACTCGGCCCGCTATGCCGCTAGTTGTACCCGCCTGACATTTATTGGTTTTAGGTTATGGTTTTAATTTAGGTTATCCTGTCAAATTTTGACAGTCAAAATAGTAAAAAATAAAAGGCCTGAAAGTTTATTTAAATTGTTTATTTGAAAAGCAAAAATAAATGTATTATATTTTAAATTATTCAAGGTATTTACTAAACTAAACCAATTAACAATATAATACTGTATTCAAGTGAATTTTATCTTATTAAAGAACACAAATCAGTATAAAGTAATAATATTATGTACCACATTTGTGTAAGTACCTACTTCATTGTTTTAATAAAATAGTTATAATTGAATAATACAATACAACCTTGTCATCATTGCGAAAAGTATGCATCATAACTTGACTATTAGAGCAGCCCACAGCACAGCACAACACCATGTTAATGTTCAAATAATGTAGCAATATATAAAAAATAGAGTACACAGATAACGATAAATCGCAATTTTAAAAGTTTTTAAGCGTAGGTACAGAACAAACCAAATAAACACAATATGAATTTACAAAACTTTACAAAATTTATCAAACTGAAGTTTGTTGATTTCGTTACCAAGCAACCGTCAAGATTAACCGCCGCTCCTGCCACATGTGCCTCTAGTGTAAACTAAAACCAAAGTCGACTAGACAAAAATGTGGATTTTGTTTGTTTAAGGCGAGTGCACAGGGCATGATTTAATAATTATAATTCAAAAATTATTATTGACCAGTGTTGCCAACTCGAAAATAACAAATAACGCTACAACAATATCAAAATTCCGCTACGCTCCGCTACAGCCGAATCTATCCTAATTCTGCTACACCCGCTCTATTTTGGCTTTAAGTTTGGAATCCAAACTTTGGATACAATTTTTTTTAATGAAGAAATGTTAAGCAAAATACTTTCTTCAAGTACCTAATAAATATAAAAAACAGGTAACAAAAAATCCCTATATAAAACCAAAACAAAAATATTCTAATGCTGGAAGTCCCGCCCGCCCGTAAAAGATAAACAATACGCAAGCCGCGGTAGCATTTATAAATCCTACGGCGGCTATATATAGCATTTTACGGGAGGGCGGGAGAAAGTACGAAAGGAAATCTATAAATAAAGCTAAGCACAAAAGATGTTAACCCTTCATTAGTCTCACTGTTTTCTGAAACGCCATTAGTGGATTCGATGTATGGGACCGAAAGTTAAAAATTACGTTCATTAAATATCTTGTGTGTGTATTGTGTGTAATTTTTAAGAAAAACACTATTTTAATATTTTTAAATGTAATGTTTTTAATAAACAAACAGAACAAACTATCAATATAAGAAAAAAAATTAGTGTTTTAAATGTTTTACTAAAACGTATTTTAAAAAAAACTAAATTCCGCCACGTTTTGCCATCATTTTGTTCCACCGCCGCTACGCCGCTTTTGGGGGTGAATCCCGCTATGCGTAGCGGAATTCCGCTACGGTTGGCAACACTGTTATTGACATTGACATTTGCAAATAGCGTTTGTACAGATGTCTGCAATTTACAAATTTATATAGTTCAGGTATTGTAGCTCTAGAGGGCAGTGGTGGGAGAGTTTCCAATCTATGGGGTGTATTATCTTTGGGTATCCCAAATTTTCCTTTTTTATATGTGATGTTAATTTATAATATAGACTCAAATGATTTAAGTCAAATCCAAATTTGTATTAACTTTTAGGACAATTTTTAACATGGAGTACTTACTCAACAAAGTATTTGGCTGATATGATTTTCTTAAATCCGCAAAAAGGCCAGAAACACTTCTTCCTTAAAACTTTTTGTCCCTTTGTATATTTTCTCATTTACAGTATTTGCCTATACAGGATGCCAAAATGTTCATTTTAATTTCGCGAAAAATCTATAATATAATATATATAAATTTAGTTAGTTACTTAGTTTCCATGTCAATAAGTGTCAAACAAAGTGAAACGTCATAATATTATTATGACGTTTCACTTTGTTTGACACTTATTGACATGGAAACTAAGTAACCAACTAAATTTGATTTTGTCTAAAATCAACATACTTTGCATGCAACTTTGCGCACGCTAGTAGAAAAATCTTTTCTCATCGAATAATGAATTTAATTCTATTAGTGACAACCACACTGTATATTAGTAGACTCTTACTTTTTTGGTAGATTTACAGGCAATAATTGTTGTTTATACAGCTATAAACTCCATGCTCTTAATTACTTACAGATGCAGTCCCTTTTTATATCGATTGCTAAGCCTTCCCCCTAGCCTGAGCTATCGTAAATGAGGGGCTTTTCTTTGAGCCTTTGTAGATTGCAGTTAATAAAATTTAAGTGCCCACTCTTTAATCTGAGCAATTATAATAATCATTAGGAATAAGGGGAATTACAAAAGCGTGACATAAAAACTTAAATAACTTCCTGGGTCTCCAAAAATAACAAAAAATAAATGTTGATCAAAATAATATACAATTTTTTTTTAAATGAGGCAACCCCAAATTATATTTCTTACAAAATCTCCAATACAAAATTGAACCATAATAAATATTAAAATGGCAAAAAACAAAATTATTGTAATAATTTTTTATTTTGTTGTTGCAGGCTATGGGCGGAGGTGTTTCACGTGTCGGCCAGTGGCGCCGGCACGGTAAAATGGCAACAGGTGAGCGAGGATCTAGTGCCGGTGAACATAACCTGCATCCAGGACTCGCCGGAATGCGTTTTTCACATCACGGCCTACAACTCGCAGGTCGACAAAATTTTGGACGTCCGGCTCGTACAACCAGGTAAGAAAACAGCTATAGAAAGTTGAAAAAAATACATAATTTCCGAATTTATTTCAATGGAAAAACTTCAAAAGTAAAGTCAAGTACCTACTTAGGAGTAAAATTTTAAAACATTTTTTCTCGATATACCTTTTTTTTCTCAAAAAATCTTTGATCACGTTGATTTGGGCTGATAGTTTCGAAGATATTAATTATTAAAAGTAGAAAATTTATAGTATTTAATAATGTTTTGATGTTTTATAGTTTTTATTAAAAGACTTTTTAATGGGGTTTTGACAAAATTAAAAAGTATTTATAGAAGACCTTCTCAAATATTTCATTTCAAGGTCAAACTTTTTCATTTTATTATTGTTTTTTGTTATTCTACAAATAGCAAGTATCGATATATGGACGTTTTTTATTTTATATTTCTTTGTTAGCATATAATTTGAAACAAATATTCACTACTATGTAAATGTAAAAACTTTTAGTTGAGCGTTCAGTGAAGTATCTGTCTCTTAAGCGTTCTCCAGTATTTAAATATGTGCCATTTAACAGAAGTACAGAAAATTGAAGTTTTAATTCTCATGGGATGTGGCAATAAAACTAAAACACAACAAGAAGTTTGGAATTTATTTAATGCAAAGTATCCAGCTCGACCTATTACTCGTGCTACGGTTAGTAAAATTGACCGGAGATTCAGAGATACTAGACATGTCAAAGACATTTCAAAACCTAGCTGTCCGAGTATTAGAGAAGACACTAAAATTTAAATTTGGTTACGCGTGGAAGAAGATCCTCACACTGCTTCCAGCCTAGTTGCATCTGAAAGTCAAGTCAGCCAAAGCTCAATATTACGTCTTATGAAGAAAGTATCCATAAAAAAATTAGACTAGTGCAGGAACTTAACTAAGATGATCCGGACCGTAGACTACAATTTTGTGAAACTGATGAATTTATGTAACAATAATCCACACTTTCCTTCTAAAATACTTTTATCTACTCCTACATTGACGAGCTGTAACTTTATGGCGTTTTATTGATGGGCTGAAGTTAACAACAGTGGCTTTTTGACATTTTACGTCACGGGCTGAAGTTAGCTTTATTATAAATTGGGAAAAAGTAAGGTTAAATTCGGGTGACAGTTGACAGATGTCAAAATTTTAACAAATAAAATTGGCTTTAAATTCTGTTTTGTGTTCGTCGTAGATAAAGTATAGTATGCAACTCGTTTATAAACTTCTCTAGACACTCGTTTTTATTAAACACTCGCTCGCAAGCTTCGCTCGTGCTTAATTAAACTCGTAACTAAAATGGCGTTTATAAAACTTGATACATAATATACTATTTTCGGACGAAGCTACCTTATGTTTAAATGGTACAGTAGGGTGTCCGTTAGTTACCAACTTATTTTATTTTTCGCAGCGCCCCCTAAACTTTTAGTTAATGATAAAAAAAAATTATCAAACTCATATGAGCCATTAATATTCATAATAAACCACAAAGACAATACACTTCCCATTTAAATAACATGGGGTTTCGGCACGTTTTACATTTAATTTTTTTTCTCCCGAGCAACTTAAAATACAGCAATAAAAGACATATTTTTATAGGAAATTGAACGCTGTACTAAAGAGCTTTTTTATAATTTTTCGATAAATTCAGTGGTTTTATATAAATTTAAGTTATTTTAAAGCAAAGTTTTTAAAATGGATATGTGGAAATGATTTTTGAAAATAATAAGAATTATATAATTATACGGTACCTACCAGTTATAAAATTTTTTTAACCAGTGTTATATTTAATAAATAAATAAAAGATAAATAAAGAAAATTTATGAAGATCCAAGTATTTTTGAAATGTTTGAAACTTTTGGTCAATTCTATTGTACTTTTAAATAACAGGACAGGTTGTAGTTTCTTAAAGGAAAAGTTCAAAGGGAAAAACCATTTTTTTATGAAATATTACCTAATACTTTGATATTTTAACAGGGCTTGTTCATTAAACAATGTGCAAGTTCAGTGGACCAAGGATGTATAGATAGAATGTTTGGCTTCTTATACTTAGCCACGCACAAAAACGTGCCGTATATTCTTTGATTTGTGGGTGTGACTTAAGCACACTCGATTTTCAAATGACCAATCACAATTCGTTTAATTTGTTCTTTGAGGTTAAAGAGAGATGATTATTGGAAAGAAAAGATTACGTCACAGAGTTAACCATCCTATCTCAAGTATTCATGCAGTGGACTGGCAGTAAAACAAGAAGACTAAAAATATAAGGAGTAAAGTGTATATTACATGGCGTTCCAGGAGTCTTAGCTTGACTCCGTACTTTTTTTGGGAATATTTAATATAAATAATAATATTTAATATAAATATTAATAAATATCCAAGTTTAAAAGAAAAGTCACTTCATTAAAAAAAAAAAATACTTTAAAAATAAATTGAACAGCATTTTCATAACTACTTCTTTTAGGCACGCGAATAGGCCAAGCGTCAGAGTGCTTCGTTTACTGGAAAGACCCCATGACCAATGACACGTGGGGATTAAACTTTACCTCGCCAATAGATGCCAAACAATTCAGAGAATGTTGTGTAAGTATCTTCACTTTTAAAAATTTAATTCCTTGCAATATTACTAAACAAAATACTAAATAAAGTCCCCATCTTCACAGTAAAAAAATATGTAAAGTTGTTTGTTTTGTGATACTTAGTAGAAAGGAATTGAACACGAAGTATGTAAACTTAACTCTTTATTCAGTTAACTGCTGAATAATACAATGACTTAAATGGTAGCTTAATTATTTAACAATGTTCCTTTCTAGAGCGGCTACAGTAGCCTGACTAACTATTTTAAAAGAAATCATCCCTTGGCAAGCCCTTGGGGGAGGAGCTTTAAGTGGCGCATGCCGCTTGAGGCGCTTAAGGCACTTATATTGAAAATTTACAAACATACCGCCCACCTTGAAAGGAGGCCTTTCAATGAATTATTAAGGCATAAATAATAGAATATAAACATTAGTACAATAGTGAATCAAACAATATTCACTAGGGCTAAAATTAATAACTAAATACTAAGTACATCAGTATTAACAAGTAATTTTAAATTTTATATACAATGTTTAATGTTTAATGTTTTTAGTCACTGGCACCTTTCTCTTCGATCGGAAGCGCGCACACCTTTGAAATTGCTCTCTTAAACACACCCGTTTGTGTTTTCACTGTCACTACACGACACACGTTGTCCGTACCGTAGTGTTTTTCTAAAATGCGCCCCAACTTCCATTGCATTACAGGAACGTTGTCTTCTTTGATCACGACCAGTGCTCCAATGGGTATACCGGGTGTCGCCTTATGCCATTTAGACCTCACCTGGAGTTCGGAAATATATTCCTTGGACCAACGTGACCAAAAATGTTGTCGAATCTGAATTAAGTGTTGATATCTCGACAATCGCGTAGTTTTCATTTGAGTCAAGTCAGGTTCAGGTAAACTCGTTATCGACCTTCCGATTAGAAAGTGACCGGGAGTCAAAGGAGTCAAGTCATGGGGATCATTTGAAAGAGGGGTCATTGGACGGGAGTTCAGTATTGATTCAATTTCAGTTAAAATTGTATAAAATTCCTCAAAAGTAAATATACTGCCCTTTGTCACGCGAATTAAATGGTGTTTGACGCTTTTTACACCTGCCTCCCAAAGTCCGCCAAAATGTGGAGACCTTGGAGGAATAAAACTCCAGTTTATTCCTTCATTTGATATTGCGTTAGAAATAAAAGCATTATTATCATCAATGAATTTAAATAGATTGCGTAATTCAGATGATGCGCCCACAAAATTGGTACCATTGTCTGATACAATGCGAGAAGGACGACCTCTCCGAGCAATAAAACGTTTAAAAGCCGATAAGAAATGCTCGACATCTAATGCAGTAACCAATTCGATATGAATTGCTTTGGTGGCAAAGCAAACAAATAAACAGATGTATGCCTTTAAAGTTTTACAGCCACGGCCCTTTCTATCCTTAAGGGTGAATGGGCCGGCGTAGTCAGTGCCAACGACATTAAATGGACTATTAATATTTACACGGTCGGCAGGTAAATTTCCCATAATTTGATTATTGCTCTTAGGATTGGCCTTAAAACATGTTATGCAATTTCTTGTAACCTTTCTTGCAAGATTTCTACCTGCTATTGGCCAGCAGTATTCGCGAATTGATGACAAAAGAAGCTGAGGGCCAGGGTGCAGTAGACGTTTATGCTCATATGAAAATAATAATGTCGCGAGAGGGTGTTTAGCATCCAAAATAACTGGATGTTTTTTACTATAAGTATAATTAGAATTGCTTAACCTGCCCCCCACCCTGATCAATTTATCATCAAAAATAGGATTTAATGCCGACAATTTATTTTTGTGCCCAAGACTTTTACCTTGTGATAGTTTAGCGTATTCTTGTGAGAACGATTCCCTTTGCGCAACTCGTAAAAGTATATTAAATGCCTTGTCTAATTCTGTTGCCGACAAAGGGCCGCTAAGTCGATTTGGCTTTGGCGAACAAAACCGCAAAATATATGCCATTATACGTTTCAATTTGTTTAGTGACGAGAAAGTTTTAAACTTAAAAAATGATTCTTCGTTAATGCTGGCTAAACTAACACTCGTAGTTTTTATATCGGGAATTTCTTTCAAGTCACAATTAACGATTGGCCAGGTAATATTTAATTTGTGGAGCCACGGTGGGCCTTCCCACCATAATGAAACTTCTTGCAACTGACTCGGACTTATGCCTCTAGATAGCAGATCCGCGGGGTTATCTGCAGTTGATACGTGCCCCCAAGAATTTGAATCGCTTAAAGATTGAATAGCCGCTACTCTATTGGCGACAAAGGTGTTTAAGCGATTTGGCTCTAATTGAAGCCAAGCCAAAACAATAGTTGAATCTGTCCAATATCGAACAGTTGCTAACCTTACATCCAACGATTCTA